AAACTCTATAAGAAATTAGATACTCTATAAGCACTGCCAGGAACATTTAGTTGTAAAAATTGTACTTTGAAACGTCTTCAACTCTTTTGTCAGTATATTTATATACTCAAATTATGTAGAATGAGTGCCTTTCAGCATTGTGAAACATTAGATCGCTTATGTATAAGGCCATAATACTTTTGCTGTTGACTCTTACACAAATTCTTTTACTTATTTATTGTAGAAAAGCTATTAAATATTTTTTATTAATAATTTTTAAAAGAAAAATTAAAAAAGAGATAAATCTGAGTCAGGTTTTGGCAATTATCGACGCAGATGTGAACAACTTTTAGAACTTACAATTTTAATCGTTTTTTGCAAAGTTTTTGACCATAAAGTACCAAATTTGCTAACAACTTCAACAACTTCAAGTTTCATGATTTTTTTTTCAGATTTCTAAAACGCGTTTTTGCAGTGGAAAAACTTTAAGGTCAATTTTTCTACCTCAAATTTCAGAAAACACTGCAAAAGCCTTTGAAAAACTTTTATGCTTAACTCTTTTCAATTTATTTATTTATTTGTCTATTTGTTTATCTACTTATTGTTTTTATTTTTGTCTTCATTATTATTCTTAATGTTATTGCTATTAATATCAATGTTATTACCATTAGTGTCATTATTAGTACTATTACTGTTACTATTATTATTGGTATTACTAATATTGCTATTACTGCTATTATTATTACTAATATTAATATTAATATTAATATTATTATTAAAATTACTGTTATTATTATTGCTGTTGTTACTGTTACTATAATTATTATCATTAATGTCAAGAATAATAGTGTTTTTGTTTCTATTTTTATTCTTGCTTTTATTTTTATTATTTCTCATTTCTACCACTATTTTCACTATTATTGTCGTTGTTGAAAGGTTTTAAGGTGAATAACGCTACGTACAGTTTTTCCAAAAAGCTGTTGGTAAATCCAAAATGTTTTTTTTTTTTTAAGAAGCTGAGAATGTGGGTATCAAAGTTATGAATCTACTAATAAATTATTTTTACAAACTTAGCAATTTGCACTACCTAACAGTAGAAATCTAAATAATACCTTGAAAATTGAGTAACAAATTAGGTTAAATAAATGATAAGTGAAATGTTAATAGTTTAGTATACGTTCTTTTTCTTAAACACTAATAATGCTTAAATCTTTTGGCAAATTTTGTGTATTATATAATTACTTTTGTTCTAATAATTGCACTCTTTGTTTGGTTGCTTGACTAAGCAAATCTTTTAAACTTATTTACAACTTAGATTATAAAAAAGACCCATTAAAATTTTGTAAATTTTTATTTCTTTTTTCAAAACAAAAATAAATTTCAATTTGAACTAAACAGTCTTTACTAGATTTTATAACAGCTATATAAACTGTTGAACATTTTTTGTTTGCTGATAAGATTATGACAAAATAGATAAAAATATATGAAAAATCACATTGCATTTTCCATCTTTGTCACAACCTAAAAGTGTTAGTTCAACTTAGACGCTGGTGAAATCAATAGATTTGCTGGTTGAACGATAACTGATGAACAGTGGCAATTCAACTACATGTTTCTTTTACGACATTATAATTTGACTATTTTTTTTTGAATACTAGAAAAAAATTGCTGCATAATTTCAAACGATCTTCTTCAACTTCTGTAGCAACAAAACATAAGTGAAATTAATAATTATTAAACAACTTGACAGTTCTACTTCTATTCTGTCCTAGATTTCACATTGAAATGCAGAACGTTCAAATCAAAGCATTATACTGGACAGCACATTCCGTTAATGCAAGTAATTCCCAAAGAGGTTCCAGCGTATGGTAAGCATTGCACGGCACTGGTGCAGCCAAGAGCCAGTGGTCGACACAGATTAGGACAAGTATGAGGAACCTAAAAAGCTTTTGAAAAGCCAGAAATTTGATGAAGTCTGAAAGTCATACTTCATTGGAAATAAGAAAAAGTCTGAAAGTTATACTTTATTAGAAATACTTTATAAGAAATAAGAAAATATGCGATCTATGTGACTTCATTTAATTTGTTATTTTTATGACAAATAGATAAATTTTTTGATTTAAAATGTTTTGGAGGTACATGTCAGGTATAAAGTGTATTGGTTACAATAGTCTAATATAATATTTAGTTAGGAAGTTACAGTGAAGTTATCATCATTTGGAACATCGTTGCACTGATTACATGTGAACTGTGAGTCTTTATAATTGAAACTTACAGTGCAGCACTGTGAACTAATGCAAGCTACAGGTGCTCTTGTGTAGGGGGCACATTGTAGGGAATTAGTGCAACCAAGGGCTACAACTTGTCCACCATTGGCACAGGTTAAGCAGTAACCAAGTCTAACAAATGCGAAAATAGTAAGAAGAGCATAGGCCAGAATCATCTCTAAAAACACGGAAAAATTTTGTCAACATTTTTGATAATTTCTATTGCTTTTTTTTTCATTTATCGTTAATTTTTACCTATTTTGCGTAGTAGGACACTACCTTAACTTAACTTCAACATACTAAATAAAAATTAGAGAAATTAAAGCTTGACTGTTTTATAAAAAAAAGACATTAATTTAATGATAAATTTATTGCTACCAAAAACAATTTAATATTTTGGGTTCTACGACTTCTTACCTTTCCAAATGATTAAATTAACAACTTAGCATAGTAACTAACAACCATCTACAAAAACTGATACTTTTTAAAATCTTGTTTGAAACCTTGTCAAAAACCCTTTACAGAAAAAAAAAATTAAATTTAAAAGAGCTGTTATTGTAGCTTTTTTTTGACCAAAGTTGAAAAAAAAACACTACTTAATAAAGTCAAAAAAGAAAGTGAAGAGGAAAAAATTGAAATTTAGCAAAACTGTAACAGGCTTAACAGTAAAGTATACCTTGAAAAACGAAATTTAGTGGCTTTTCTAGATCCTTTTATAGAGCAAAATACTTAACTATGAACTTTCAGAAACTACAAAGTTTGTTACGTTTAAGCAGCTGCTAACTTTTCAAAAAAAAAAAAAAATTATTGACAAAAGACTGAATTAAGAATACCAAAAATTAAAAGGTCAACAAAAGTAAAACTGTAACCAGATGAATCAGCAGAGATCTGCAATTTGCTAAACAATAGCAAATGCACTTTAACAGTTTGTTCCGAATTTTGATGCAGCTGAAATGGTTCAATAAAAGCACTTCACAGTTGTTTCGGTCTCAGAAGTGACAAAAAAAAAAGCTAAAAAAATTATATATTTATTATTATTATCATTGGATTGAAGAATAGAAGAAAGATCAACAGTTTTTTCTTCGTAATAATTGACAGAAATATCATATTTTTTGCAAAATTTGAATCTTTTTTCAATTTATATTTCTAAACTAATTTTGACATAGTCACTGTTTCCAATTAGCAAAAAATGAAAAAAACTGCTAATCCCGAAAATAGTGCTGTCAATTGCAATTATTAACATTTGCTAAATCAATTCTGATACAAAACTTATTTTCTTTTTTTTTTTTTTTTTTAAATTATATAAAGTTGAAATACAAGGTTGTCGCACAGATTTAGTTTAACCGACTGATACATGCTAATTTTTGGTGTGGAGATCAAATTATTTTGTATTAACACATTGCAACAATAAAATTTCAGAACCTTTGTTCTGAGGCTACCAGAAATAATGAAAAGTTCAACATTTATTTAACTTGTACTTTGCTCTTAATGCAAAAGACGATTAAATGCTGTATTCTTTTTAATGACAACACTTTTTTCTCATTACCTTTCCTGATTTAACAATGCTAAACAGTAACGTTTTACTTAGAACACTACAGATTGAATATCAACGACCCATTATTTTAGGTATTAATCATACTGACTTACTTGACTACGGTTCGGCGACAACCAGCAAATCTGAACAATTCGGGCTTAGTGACAAGCGGAAAGACACCTTTCTTTGACCAAATCCGATTATTGTCAAAAAAAAAA